GGATTGCAATTACAGAATTTGTCCCATGATTCCTCTTGGACTTCAGTGTATGGTTTTTGTGGGGGTTGAATCCATACCTGGACATTTCCTTTTGTATGCTTATATCAGAAGGAAGGGTTGGGTCAAATATTTTTCTCAGTAGTCTAAACCTGTAGTTACTGTTGGTGCATTAGCAAATAAGGGAAAATAATACCTGTTGGCATTCTGGAGGGGTCACAATGGGGCCCAAACATTATTCGTTGTGGCTTAGCTATTAATATAAGGAAGGAGATTTAACATAAGTGGATTAAAGTGATTGAGTTCCAAGGGAACACACCGAACAACTATGTCCAACCTCTACTAGTGGGCATAGCAAACTGCCCATGCTGTGGGATTGAGACTTAGTCCTTTAAGCCAAGGGAGGTAAATCTCTTCCTTCTTCCATGGGACAAGGGTTGTTTATTTATTCTCAATTACCTACACTTCTTTTTATCCTTAGTCAACTATTTCTCAGAAAAACTACCCAAGACATTCTCCAGTGTGGAACAGATGCCATACCTATTAAAACACTGTGATTTTGCATCACTTTCAGATGTTTTAGAATGCTATATTTGAAGTAGAATTCTGAACGATGCTTTCGACTTTCTGTTGGTAGCTTAGGCTGTTACATAGATGTCAATGTGAATTACAAATCTGTCCACTGTGCTTTTCATTATCTTAGATTTGTATATGCACTACTGAAATAAAAATCAGAAGTCAAAAATGTGTCACATAAGAAAAGTACTTTTGTGACTTAGGTAAAAAATAAAATTCTGTAGTCAATAAACAAATTAAAATGAATAACTAAAAATGATTTATTGTAGAAATTATGAGTTTACATCATAATACTCATTTAAAACTGAAAATGCCTGCATTTTTTTTTGTATGAAAAAATCGAGCCATTTAAACCCTGTCTTTCTTCAAGATAGAGGGTGGAAGTATTATCACTCCAATTATAGACTTACTTATAAGAAAGTGAAGTTTGTATAATATATTTATTTTTAAATGACAAGAACAAACTTACTAAGTTTTAAAAACTTCAAGTAAAATTCATGACTAATTTTTCCATTCTTATTTGAGTATGTTAACTGCACACAGTTAAGGACTAATGATAAAGGCATTTGCATTACATGCTGTGGACTGAATTTTTAAACTTCCTTTATCTATATTTAGTTTCTTCTTTGATTTACTGGAGAGTTTCTTTTGATCTTTTAAAAAATTATGAGCATTTTAATGATATAGATCATATATCATGAATAATTTAAGTGATTTGTCTCTATCATACATTTATAAAATAATTAAAATTTGTTCTATAATATGAACAACTGGGATCTGCTTCTTTAATACAAAACATTGAATTACAACATTTGTCATCCCAAAATATTTAACCCCAATCCTATATAATCTATGCATCTTTTATTCAGTATAAAAGGAATATAATTGTGTTTTTGAATGCATAAATATATTAACTTAGCTAAAAATGTAAAACTAAGTTTTGTTGCTATTTTTAATACAATAACAATTGACATGAAAAACTTTCAACATTGTACAGAAAATTCTATCATCCTGGGGCTGTAGACAAACCATGAATCTCATTCAAATATTAGTGCTATAGTGTTAATGCAGTTTTCCCAAACAGAAAAAAAAAGCTATGAACACTACTAACTGCACATTCTGGATTTTCCCTCAGCAAACATAATATTTTCACCATATATATGTATATAAATTTTCAGACCACAATAATTTATATCACAAGAGGAAAATGACTGACCTACTATCAAAATGTTACGTGGAAAAATATCAGAAAAGACTAGTTTCATCTCTGTATTCCCTGAATCTTCTCTGTATTTGTAAACCCATAAGAATGGTACCTACAGAAGCTTTTGACATTCCAAAAAGAGATTTGCAGGACTTAAATACTGTAAGAGTGAAATGCTGAATCATAGATCAGAAAGTGACCAAATGCCTTCAAACTATAAAAGCAAACTATATATATATACACATTACAAGTTGATAGAATCTAGTTGATTTTGACTCCAGGACAATTCAGCAAAACAGCAGTTACAACTCCCAGGTTACTGCCTACTTGCCACTCTTTGTTACTTGGTTTCTGAAATGCTTAGAGCATGCTATTACTAATGTTGAGTTATTCTCTTGAGGACATTATTATCAAAATGCTGTGAAAAACTTAGCCTGAAGGTATTATAGACTGTGATAATTAAAGTCATGCACAGGTAAAATTAAGAAACTCGTTTCCTCACTAACACACAACAAGCAGTCATCTCTGCATGTAGAATTTCTTCAAATGCTCCTGCGAAATGCAACTTTGTAAAAGTATAAAATAGCTGCTCTCTAGCAAGAATTCATTTTCTTATATAAACTTATATAAACTCTAAACATATATACAAACTAAGTGCTAAAGATTTGTTCAAATATATTATGCTACTATGTAATAGCTAATTTATATGGCACCTACTGTGGCAAAATAAGTAAATGAAGACTTGTAACTCCTCTAACATGTAAACACATAAAAAAAAATCTGTTAATATAACAATAACATCAATATTTCAATAAAATAAAAAGAATAGACTACTAACAGTTTATTGGGTAAACCCATAAGCTTTGATGAATCTAAATAACTGTCATCTAAGATAATATGAGAATGATTTTTAATATTATGTGATACCATGAAGATTTACTGTCATCAAATGTTATATACCAAGATGAAAAAAAGGGGTGTTCATATTTTGTCAGATAGAATTTTAGATTTCTATGAATTTTACAATGTTTAATAATATAGTTTAACAATTGTTAAACAATCTTCCCAAGTAGACAAAAACACATTTTCTCAATAGTAAATTTTAGTTTAAAACTAATAAGTATAATACAATCTCTTCATTTTTGTTGACCAAAATGTAAAAAAACAAAAGTATGGAAATAATATGTTAAGCCAGATACATTTGGGAATCTGTTAGAAATATCCTTTAGAGGAAAAACACAGTTTTAAAAATTCCCTAAGAAATAATATACAAAGTTGATGGTCTAAACAGAAGTTTTAGTTTCTTTCTACATTTTATGATTTTTTTCTCTCCCAGACCAGGTCATGAATAAGTATAACCACCAAGGGCCAGAACCTGTTGGGTGTTATGGCATCTAAATTGGACACCAATGTTCTTAACCAAAACTTTCCTTTTGGCAACTGGATCAAAGGGAATTTACAGAGTGATTGAGGGATGGGAGAGGGAGGAGGAGCATTTTTTTGTGTGGGAGGCTTTATGCCTAGGTGTGTGTGTGTGTGCGCGCGTGTGTTTGTGTGTGTGTGTGATGGAACTCATTAGAAAATCATGGAGAGGATCACGGTCGCAGAGTCAATATGCGGTGGTTGTCCGTGCTGCCTTGTGTATTTCTCTCTTCAACTACATATTGCACGGGAGTTCATGTTGATAACTGGAAACTCACACTTTTTCAAGGTAAAAAGAAACATGTATAACACAACCACATTTCATCGTGGTCAAACATATCTAAAGGCCTTCGTCTCCAACGAGGGGCAGCAGGAAGTTGTGAGTTACATCCTGTCATGCTCTTTGCTTCTTCATTTCTGTCAGACCTTGTGACATTTGTGGAAAAGTTCACACACAGGTAATCTATGACTATCTGGTTTCTAGTCATTACCCTGATCCATTTCTTCCTCATAGCTTCCTATCTATCTCTGACATCTGTTGAAATAGCAGGCCATTGCATGTATGTGTTTGCATGGACTTCAAACCCTTCAGATTTTTACTGCCTGTAAAGTCACAGACTGCTATGTTTAGATCCTTAGTTGAACATTTTTTTTTCCTTCTGGAGAGGGCATGATGTCCCACCATTCCCATACTGCCACCAACTCTGAGGATTCTTCTCAGCAGTAGCATGTCTGACTGAAGGCTAAAACTGAGCAATGAATAAAATTTATTTTGAAATTGCTTTTCTTGATGCTTTTGTCCTAGATCTGCAGAACATTGTGGACCTAACAAGAATCTGTTTGAGCACTTTTGCAATTTGAGTGTCTTTTGCGTAATTTCTAATTCTCAAAGGAAACAATGCCTGACTAATACTGTGGAGACCATCCAACTCCCACTTTCATTTTTATCTCTCTGGATTCAATAGAATGGTTTTGAAGAATGCTGGGTTTTTTTTCATTTATTATTTATTTATTTATTTATTTGGTGGGGTGAGGGGGTTTTGTGAACTTTAAGCCCACTCAGGAACAAAGAAATCCTTCTGGAATCTTCATTTATTTGCCCCATCTTTCATCCACTTTTACATACACTTGTGTGAGTACAGTGAAGAGCAAATTCTTCTAGAACACAGAACGTGGTCTTTATAAAATATGTTTCAAGATCTGGGGGTCATGTGCAGCAAACAGATTTAAAGTATGTTACTAATTTAGTGTAGATAGAGTTGGCTGAAAAGGTCAATAGCAGAAACAGACTGTAGTGAAGCGTCCAGGCACAGGTGTGTGGGTTCATGCTGATCTGTGGAAAGAAAACCCAGAGGCACCTTAAGAATGAATTTAGCCTTTTGTAACTGCAGGAGAATCCAGTCTTTAAGGACTGAAACATTTTCCTTTCACTCAGGGCATTTTTGTTTTTCTCCATATTTACACTTTGGCCAGTTGATTTCCATATGTTCAAAACAACCTGAAAGAAGCTCCCCAAAATACAATGCCAAGTGTAAATTCAGCAATTCATCAGGTGCCACAGTTTTCAAGGTTTTCTGAACCAAATTTTGCATAGGGCTTTGTATCTTTGGGAGAATCTGAGACAAGATTCACATAGGGCCACAAGAGAAACAAAAGGTGTCTGCTAAACAAAAGATAGATTAGGGCTAGCTGCTACTCTCTGGAGCCCAGGCCAGGTGTAGCCCAATGGGAGTGTAGCCACAGATGCCTCTTTCTTTTATAGAAAAATCAATTATCTTGAAGGTTACACAGCCTCATTTTATCTATATGTCTTACAACCTTATGTAAGTATACCAAAACACATTTTAAAGCCAATAAAGTTACTATTGCTAGAACAAGAGCAACACCTGCTAGAATAAGAAATCTATTAAAGTGATTTGTAGGATTGAATGAGGTTATGGTATCTGCAAGACTTTCCATAATGTCCATTCCTGTCAGATCAGGTAACTTTTTTGCAAAAGTTTCTTTAATTTCTTTCTATAAATCACAAACCATTTGAGAAGAATTAGGGTGACCCAACAAATGCATTTTAACCTTATCCCAATCATACTTACTTTCACTAAATCTAAAGAGTGTGATAAAATAGGAAGAAACATACCAATCACATTTTAATTTTATCTGCTCCTTCAAAATTTCTAACTGATCCCCTAACAATACAACAGCTTGCCTTAACTCTGCTAATTCATTTACTATCTCATTATCAATCTTATTTTGCTCAGTCCAAAGTTTTTCTCAATGTTTATGCCAATTTAATAAGTTCAGCAGTTTGAATTTCTTTATGAAGCCCCATTCCAGCTGTTATTGCTATAGCTGTCAATACAATGATTCCCATAATAACTGAAACAACCAGTTCACCCATTCGATGTGTTCTTTTTAATATTATTTCAGCGAGCTTCTGTACCAGGATCATCACATCAGTGTCTTGCCGTGGCCTTGAAAACTTCACTGGTATCCAGATTACTGGCCTTGCTCTAAGAATATATAAACTTTCATAGGTCAAATTTTAAAAACTTGATAGAATTAGCATAGGTATGAAGGGCACAGCATTCGCAAGTAATGCTGTAATTATTAGGGTGCCATTGTTCAGGCCCTTTTAGTAGCAAGTAAGGTAATGGTACGCATGCCATAAAAGGATGGAGTTGATTTAGTCTAAAAGACAGAGTGTACTTATCATCCTTAGTGTTTAATTTTCCTTCCCATGCCTTAAGAGGGTGGAAGGCACTTGCCAATTTCCACAAATTAGTCTGAATTGAATTGCCAAATTGTAGGAAAGGGGTTACCATTCCAACTCCATGCCACCAAACAGCTTCATTAACTGAAGCACTGATTTCCACAGTTCCATTCAAACTAAACCATTTCCATCTTAACTCTGAGTGAGAATATTTTCCTTGAGGGGAGCCATGGCATCTCCTTTGGAGATATTAATTAGCACTTGAGGCCTCTCATTCTTACACTATTGTCAATATACCCACTGAGATTCCTTGTTGGTCACCCTCATCACAGAATGGTAGATTTATGGAACTAGAAGCATTAATCTCCTGTTCTTTAAAACCAGATGCATGAAGTATACAAACTGTATTATGATAATCTTGGGTAGTCTTGACTATGGATAGCCATACCTGAGATGTTTTATTTAGGTGTTGAATTCCATTTCTCATGCAAATAGGAATTCCTTGTACTCCAACCAGTGTAATTGTCAATCTTTTTACCCTCCTCCATTGGCTGAGCAGGACCTCAGTTGTCATAAGGATGAGGTAGCCAAGAAGATTCATTCACCACTACAGGAATATTCATATCTCCCCAACTTACTGCTATGTTAATTGGAAGATTGGGGATAAAAGCCCAATGATTATGATCCATCCCTTTACCTGCACCATTACCACAGAAAGCATGCCAAGAAATAAGTTTGTAGCATTTAGAGGCTTGTGAGTCATGTGAAGGATCATCTCTCCTTTGTCACACAAACTCGTAAGCTGTCCCCAGGTGAGAGAATTAGTTGTTTGTTGCAAAGGTCTCCTGTGTGTTAAATTTGGCAGAGGCATCCCTGCATCTGCAGTATCTTGGAGATGTCTCTTGCTCATGTTGGATGTTTTTTCAATTTGACAGGATCCACAATTTATATTCTCCTATGGAAACATAAGCATAACCTTGGTCTTAACACTTTCTCTGGACTATTTTGATGTTAAAAGATTTATAATACATGGGATGACTCAATTCAGTAATTCTTTCCATAACTCAATGTTGTTCCTGTTTCATTAGCATTTAAAAAAATTTGAAGTTAGTAAGGCATTATGCAGTCTATCTATGGGGGTCCTCATGTCCCCTTCTGTTTATCAAGCATCTCCTTTAGAGTGTGATTGGATCTTTTTTAACAATTGCTTGTCCTGTAGAATTGTATGGTATCCTGGTAATGTGTTTTATGTTGTAACATGCAAAAAATTGTTTCATTTTACTGGAAATGTAAGCTGGGGCATTATCAGCCTTAATTTGTGCTGGTATGCTCATTTCTGCCATGGTTTCTAATAAATGTGCAATTATAGAATATACCTTTTCAGAACTTAAGGCAGATGCCCATTGGAACCCAGAATAAGTGTCAATAGTATAATGAACATATTTTAATTTTCCAAAATCTACTAAATGAAATATATCCATTGCCAAAATTCATTCCTGCAGGTAAAGGAACTTGGTTATAAAAATAAAAGGCAGGATAGTTTTTTTTATAATTTCCTTAGCTTGTTGTCAAGTAATAGAATATTTTTTCTTTAAGTCTTTACTGTTAACGGTGTTTCTTATGAAATTCCGAGGCTTCTAACACAGATCCTATATCAATAATTGATCAATTTCTGCATTTCCTTCTGCTGATGGCCCAGGCAAACCAATATGAGATTGAATGTGGGTAATTCAATTGAAAGTGGACAATCTATTTCAAGAATAAATTCAGCAGTCTCTATATGCAATACAACCCTTTCAGCATATTGAAAATCAGTAATTATGATGAGAGGTTCCTTAAAGTCTAATAAAACCATCAGAGTGCCATACAGCTCTGATTTTTGAACTGAGTCATATGGACTTTGAACAATCTTCTTGATAATTCTCTGCCCTATAGCCAGACATTTCTAATTTAATTGCATCAGTATAGAATGTAAGAGCCCCAGAAATAGGTGCTCTTTTTATTATGTGGGGAAGAATTCATTGAATTCTTTTTATAGACTGAGTTCGCTTAGTTTTTGGATATTTGTTGTTAATTTCTCCTAGGAAATTACTACAAGCTCTTTGCCAATCATCATTAACCTCCCACAATTGCCTAATTTCAGCATTGGTATAGGGCACCATAGTCTCAGCTGGATCCATACCTGACAACTGGCGAAGTCTTAATCTTCCCTTTATGATTAGTCCAGAAACATTTCCTACATAGGTTTTTAAATTTTTTACTTTGCAAGCTAAGAAAATCCATTTCAAAATACAATCCTCTCTCTGCATGAGTCCAGTAGTGGAATGATTTGAAGGTAAAATCACAAAAACACACCACTTTGTGAGGTCTAATATACACACATAGGCATTTAATAATTATCATTCTACCTGGGCTAATTCCCTTTCAACCCCAGCTGTTAACTGTCTCAGACTATTTAAATCTGAGTCACCTTGCAAAATCTGAAACAAATTGGTTAATTCTTGAGTAGACAATCCATTTGTAGGTCGCAACCAGTTAACATCACCTAGTAACTTTTGAAAATCATTAAGAGTATGCAGTCAATCTCCCCTAATCTGTAACTTTGGAAGCTTAATTTTCAGGTTACTTGATTTATAGCTTAAATAGCTAAGAGAATCTCCTGCATGGTGGTCTCTACTTTAAATCTAGATAGCTAATTCCTGTCCTATCTTGCTTTTGTACAACCTGTATAACCTACGACTTTTCCCTGTATAACTTATTTCTTTTCAATACTTCTCCCAGGAACATACCCCTCATTTTTAACATCATTTTGCGAGCTGTTTCTGAAATTATAGGAATATTAATTTGAGATCCTCATTGTTGTAAGAAATCTCTCCCCCATAAATTCATGGCTGTATCAGCCATACAAGGCCTTGATATCCCTTCCTGTCCTTCCGGCCCTGTACATTTAATTCATTCTACATTCTTGTTTTACTTGAGATAAGGTTCAAATGCCTACAAATTGAGTGGAGACTTCTTGTAAAGGCCAATTGGGATCCCAGGGTTCTTGTGAAATTATAGATACATCAGTATCAGAACCCAATAATCCTTCAATCTTAATTCTATTTAATTTTACCTTTAATTTGGGCCTCTCATCATTAATGACTATTTGCCAAAATAGCTTTTTTCCAGTACTCCCAAAACTTCCTGTCTTATCCACTGGAGCTGTTTTGCCTTTTGAGTAATAACAACTGAGCAATTCTATCACCAGCATCTATTTGTATATTCCTTTTTACATAAACCATAATTTTAATTTCTTGCTGATAATCTTCATCTATAATTCCTGTGTGAATAATAAATCCTTGAGACATTAGACTGCTTTTTCCAAAAAGCATTCCTGCTGTTCCTTGGGGAAAAGGACCATACACCCCAGTGGCTATCTTATAACAAGGAATTTGTGGGGACAAATTTAGATGTCTGCCCACTGCCAATTCTAGGGCAATGCTCCCTGAAGTAGCACGCATTAAATCTTGAATGGTGAGCCTATGTTCCCCTGAAGGCTGTTGACATCCATTCCATTGTTGACAGGAAATTGGTGTTGTTTGTTATTGGGTCCTGAACTAGGCCCTTCACCCAGTTTCTGGAGGACAAAGGATTACCATGCATATCTCTCTTTGATCTACACTCCTTAGTTCAATGTTTACTTTTACCACATCTCTTACAAATTCCTGGGGGTTGAGGTTTTCTATTTTAATTATCCTGTAAAGAGGTATCTTTTTTAGTAACAGAATAATAACAATCTTTCCTCAAATGTCCAGTTTCCTGCAGTTAAAACATCTCTATTCTGAGATTTAAGGCCTCTAGCTATAGCTTGTCCAACTATATTAGCATATATTCTGTGGATCCAATATCAGTGGTAGCTTTAATCCATTCCTCTAATAGAGCTCTCTGAGCCTTCAAGGGCCTTATGGCCTTCTGACATTCTATAGTAGCATTCTCAAAAACTAAAAACTCAATTAGAACCCTTCTAACATGTGGATCAGCTATTACTCTATGTACTGCTGAAGTTAATCTTTGCAAAAAAAAATCAGTGTAGCCTTCTCCTGCACTTTGTGTGATTTTTGTGAAGGAGATAGATCTTCTCCCTGGTGCCTCGACCTTATCCCAGGCCCTTAAAGCCACTAGATAATGCTGTTCCATGGCTGCAGCTTCCTCTCTCCACCAAGTAAGTCATTGTAATTGAGAACTAGCTCCTAGTAGAGCTGCCATGAGGTCCTTCAAATCTTGTGGAATAACTCTATTCTGAGTAGCCCAGTTGTTTAAAATCTGTCTTACACAGGACAAATGCATCCCATATGCTATCATTGTTTCTTTTAATCCTTTCAAATCTTTCATTTTGTAGGTCTCCAAACAATCTAAACATAACCTTGAGGCCATTGATCATTTGCAGGCATTCTCTGCATAATAATTTAGAACACCTGTGGAGGTGTCCTTATGACCCTAGACAACAAATCCTCAAATCCATTATAAGGTGGTGCCGTAGGTCCATAATTCAACATTTGCCTTTCTTCTATTGGGAAATTTTTCTTTTTAATTCTTCTTCCTTTTTTTCTACTGGGAAGATTTCCTTTTTTATCTTCTTACTTTTCCTTTTCTTTACTGGGAAGTTTCCTTTTTTTTTTTTTTTTTTTTTTTTTTTTTACTTTTTGTCTCGGGAGGTCTTGTATTTTTAAATGTGCAGTTAACCTTTCAGCCTTTCTAATTTTTAAATCTGTTTCATCAGATGAAGAAGGAGGAGAGTCATCTCCAGTGTCCTGGCTTTTCTCACTTTCCCTGTCCTCTGAAACAGCACTCCCATTGATCTGTGATAGAACATTCTTCTCTGCTGACTAACAATTTCTAGCTTGATTGTCTTTCTTTTATTTTCCTGTTCTACTCCAGATACAGCTTCAATATGACTCCTCACTCTGTAATAGCTCCAGAGCATTTGATATTAAATTACATAAAGACCAAATTTTTAATGGTATAGGCTCTCCTTTCTGATGAGCTCTCCTCAAAGCTCTCATAACTTGCTTCCATAGCTTTAGTTTCAATTGAACATGAGGAGTTGCCTGAAACCAAAGGCAACACCATTTAATTAACACCAAAAGTTCTATAAGCTGTTTTTCCTTCACTTTCACTCTGTTTCCTTCTAACAGGCATTTTAACAACTGCATATACCGTTGCTCCTGAGATGGGAAGTTTCCAATGACTTTGCCAATCCTGGAGTCCCCTTACACTGAGAGCGCTTCCTTCCAGTTCTTAAGATGGCTGGCTCCTCTGTCCTTCTCCAGCAGACCCTTCATCCTTCAAGCCACAAATGTCACATTGGGCGCCAAATATGCAGCTACAACAGACTCCTTTTTTCTTTCCCTTTCTTCTTTTTCTTTTTTTTCTTCTAGTACTGTGCCTAACAAATATTTGGGATCATAGAAACAGGGCTTTTCATTAGAAGAATCACTTAATCTTATTGTCAGATGACTCAATCTCCTAAGATACACTTTTTAAATTGTATTTTAATCCTCTAGTTGTTCCTAGAATGAATTTTAGACATCTTAACTTTAGGTTATGTATCAATTTGGAGGAATATTTTGTGTATCGTGTATCTTATAACTGGACAAATCCCCCTTCTCTTTCCCTGTATAACTTAAAGGGGTTTTGTTAGGTATCTTTTATATTTTACAGGGAACACCGTATTTCAGCATATCTGGCTCAACAATATTAACCATCTGGTAACTTAACTGTCCTCTGTGCTCTGTCCCTCCTATAATTCTGAACTAAGGAGCAATCATTCACTGTGTTCACTCAAGCCTTGGAACTGATTGGCTCTAGAGGTGGTCACACCTGCATTCCGCGACTTAGTGAGTATATTCAGAACTAGATGCATTGTTTCCATGCTACTCATTCCATTCACTCTGGCAACATTTTGAGGTTTAGGTAGAAAGGAGTTAGCTCCTTGACGGAAAAGAAATTCCCTTACAAATTGTGAAGACTCTTATTTCGATGAGATAAGCCCCAGACCTTCTAAAACTGAGGGCTGGGCCCGTGATAAAACCACAACATGAGCCAATGAGCAGACCAAAGTCTACTCCTGGTGGCCACTCCTTCTCTGTAAGCCTCAGAGAAGACAGACTACAGCTGTTCCCTTATTCCATATACAAAACGAAAGATGCATCTTAAGACTGGGTGAGAAAGGGTGGTAAAGGGTGTTAAAAATAGTCAATGCAATGTTTCTTGAAGACATTGAATTCATTTCAACAAATTACATATTTACAACCTACATTGTGAGATATTAATTTAAGTGACTTAAAGTCTCCCTCAAATTTGAAGGCAGGGAACTGGAGGTTCTTGGTAAAATGTAGATTCTAAGTCTACATGGGGACCTGGCTGTCCTGCGTTTATAACAAGATCTCAGAAGAGGTCAATGGCACGGGGCACATGGTCCAGAACTTGTGTCAGATATGACTGCTTACATTATAAATGTAAAACAGTACTAGAAACTAAATTGGAAATCAAGAATCGGTGCGTAGCTTTATCATATTTAATAGAAACTAAATATCCACAATTCCAATAGGCTCAATATAGCTAAAGTCTATATTTGCATGTGTGGGCATACTCACACATACAAATAACCACAGTAGGGTACATCCTGAATCATTTCCTTAAGACTAGTGACAGAGAAACAACTCATAGAAGAAGACAAACTGTATGCAGTCATATATGTCAAAATATATGACATTAAAAGTCAGAGTGAAAGTAGAGTAACCCTAGAGAAAAATGAGGCACAACTAAAACGCTGATATTTTACTGTCAATGGAGAATTTTTAGCATATTCCTGTGAAAAATGACTTCATTCATAGACGCGTAGTCCCCCTTCCCTTCAGGGTTTCTGCTAAACACCTTTATTCTTGTTGTTAGGGAGCCAATCTCCACCCTTGCCAGTCTGTAGCATTACTCACAAGATACCTTTGTGCTTCCGGGCACAGTGCGATAAAGCCAAAGTGCACTTTGTACTATACTGTTGTGTCTTAAGCTTAACATTCGTTACACAGATTCTGACTTTTATTCCTTCCTTTTCTCCGCAGTTGAACTGTTAAAAGGCTGCCTATTTGACCACCTGCTACAAAAATGGGCACCCCAGAAGATGTTTGGAGAAAGGATCTGAAAATGATCCACGGCTGCCCCATGGTCTACGCTTTTGCACTTGACTGGGAAAGGATTGAAGAGTTCCAGTGCAGACAAGATGACCTTGTGATCACCACATACCCTAAATCAGGTGAGTCCTGTGTCCCAAATAGCGCAGGTCTAACCTCACCTTTTGTTTATAAGGTTGTTTTAGTTTTAGTTTATTAACTTTTTCTCATTTATTTTACATATGGATTACAGTTTCCCCTCCCTTTCCCCCTCCTGTTTTCTCTCCCCAACTTCCATCTACCCCCCTTCCCATCCACTCTTCCTGTCTCATTCTGAAATGGGCAGGTCTGCCATGGGCTTAACAAAGCATGGCAGTTGAGGTAACATCTGTTAACAAAACATCAAGTTGAGGTAGGACTGAGCTACTTCCCCTGTATAAATGCTAGGCTATGTAATCCAGCATTAATCGTGTGTATGTGTGTATTTGTTTGTATTTGAGGAACATGCATGTGTGTGTGTGTGTGTGAGTGCCCACAAAAGTGATAGCTGGTGTGGGCTGGAGGTATACATTAGGATTAGAGAGAGGAAAGGGGCGAATGATATTATATTGTAATCTCAAAGAAATCTATTAAAAAATCACAAAACTTTTATGTTTACATATATGAGCTTCTCAAAGAATAAATCAATAAATAAAACCAAAAGAACATTAAAACAAAGAAACTGACCACTGATTTTTAAAATGATGACTTTTGTTACAGGTACTACTTGGATTAGTGAAATTGTAGACATGGTTCTAAATGATGGAAATGTTGAAAAATGTAAGCGAGATGTCATTACTTCTAAAGTTCCAATGTTGGAACTGACTATCCCTGAACTAAGAATGTCAGGTAAGTGTAAATCTTCTGATGATTGTAATTTTGCAAGAGTATTCTCATCTAGCATCTATTTGTAATTCCAACTCAGAAAAAAAGAAGAAAGAAAGAACAAAGAAATAGAGCATAAATGTTTACATAATTATGAAGAATTATTCATGTTGTGGGTTAGCTATGAATTATTAGTAAAATCCTCTCATCAAGGAATGTACAGAAATGTTGTAATGTTAGAAAGTAAATCAATTTATAACATAGCAATTCTACTAGTTTTCCATAGTCAAAGAACAAGACTGTATGAGATATAATTATAAGAAGGAAGGCCTTAGATTGTATTCATGCCTAGCTGCACTTAATTAAGGCCCAAAGTTTTACATGCATTTTGGGAAAACATATTCTAGGAATGTGAAGCATCTAGGTGTAAAGGGATTTAAGAGGACAAATCTTCAGGGTCAGGGCAATGCATGAACTAAAACAGCAGTGAAGGAAGGGCTGGGAGTAGGATGCAAAGCAATTAAAAATCATATAGCGATGGATTAAATAAGGTGCAGAGTGCTTAAAAGTTTCTTTAATTTTATTCTAAACATGGTAGGGAAGATATTGAATGGCTTTAGTTAAGTAAGAGTCATTGAGTTGTATTTTTGCTCTTTAAAATAGAAAGTCTATCCTAGTTGATATTGTGGGGTTGAATTTAGGATGTGAGAGATATATTTTGGATTGATTGACAGATTACCTAAGTAATGTGAGGAAAATGAAGAAAGAAAGATGAGTTCAAAAGTTTACCGAGGTCAACCAAATATGAAGCCAGGTGTCATTTGGAAAGTTGGGAAGGTTAATAATAATTTTTTTTATAAAACTTTAGATATCAGGTATTGAGTATTTTTAAATAATCAGTTGAAATATATTCATTCAGCAAGTTTTCACAGTAATTGGCACTAGGAAGCAAGACTGTTGGCTCACAAAAGTGTAATATAGTATCAAAAGATGAAGGTTATCCATGAAAACTACCATCAAGAAGAGGCTTTGATAGAGGGCTAATAAAAAAATCATCAAGCTGAAAGGGAATGGAAAAATGTGGGTCATACAGGCAAGTGTGAAAGGTCACTTTAAGTGAAGCTGCTGGGAGCCTAGGTAACACAGAACACAGAAGGATGAGGGTAGCCCTTCCCAGAGGACAGACAGGTTTAAACAGCAGAGTACAAACTCTCCCCTGAAGCAGAGGTGGCTCAGGGCAAGAAGGTTTACTTCCAGAGGAAGGGGGTCTATTGATCCTTAGTTTGTTGTCTAAAGTTGAAGGGAAAATAGAAGCTTGGAAATGAAGAATGACTTTGATACTGCACAAAAAATATAAAATGAAAAATTAACTAAACCAAATAGTATAGGTGTCTGGGGTTACTGCTGGGGGCAGGGTTAAGGGTGAAACCCACTGCCTCAGAGGAATTAGCTGACTTTTAGCCAAGAGGTGAAGGTAGCACTCTGTAGCCTAATTGTGGATACCTGTGAAATCTTCGTATATTCCTATTAATGGTTATAAAGGGCTCATTTCAACCACTTCACTTGGAAAAATGACTATGAGACAGGAGAATATGAGAAATGTTTTATGTTGTTGAGGCAGAGATGAAGAACTGGCATGGGAAAGACAGCCTGAGATTAACAGAGAGAAGCGTGTGTCCAATTTTCATTTCTCTGTGCTGAGTAACATGCCTGGAGCTACCAGTCTGGAGACATGATGAGGTCCATGGTGGAATTTTGTAGTTTTCTAATTAATATCTCCAGATAAAATCTGGGACATCTAACCTCCAATTTCATTTAAAATTTGGACCATAAAACATTTAATTTAGTATAAATTTATCCCAAAGATTTTATAAGAGACACACATACACACAAAAATAATCTGTTATGTATCTAAAACTCAAATTTAACTGGACACCTGCGATTTTTATTTGATTTTTTTGCAACCTTATTTCTATTGTTATAAAGGGGTGGTGCTAAATATTTATTGTGGGCCATAAACTTCAATCAAGAAGATATTCATTGGTAAATAACATGTTATATTCCTGTTCTGAAAGAATTCCATTCTATTGGACATATATTATAGATCCAGCATAGACAATAAGCATGGGAACACTCTGTGAATCATTCCCTATTTAAAAACAAAAAACAAAAACAAGCTACCATGGACTTCTAGGAAGTTCAAGCAAGCCTTGAACTTAAGATCTTCGTGCCTCAACCTCTTGAGGACTGGATTAAAGCTTTGAGCCACCATGACAAAATACGTGCAGTGTTACATACAGAGAGGTGTTATATACAACACTGGGCCTGGATGTTATATAGTAAATTATAAACAGTTGAAACAGGCGGTTGTTTGGAGTTGATTAATCAAGTTTTTTGA